TAGTCTTTGCTTAGTCCTAGCCGGCAACACTGAGGGTCTGGCAGGCTATCACCACTTTAGCACAATCCTTTGGAAAGTGGCCATCCGGGAATACTCAGCTTTACAGACTGTCCCAGAGGAACTGCCTCTTTTTTGAATCATTGTGTCGTAGAGTTGAAAGGGAATGCAGAGGTCATCTCATCCAATCCCTGGCACAACTGGATGTGTTTTTTTAATACGATCCCAGAGAAACGCTTATACTGCCTGCTCCTGTAAACCTCCAATGAAGAAGACTCCACAACTTCTCTGGGTAGCTTGTTCCATTGTCCTATAATTCTTACCTTTAGGAGATCTTTTCTGAGACTGAATCTAAATTTGCTTTGCCACAGAGGTAGGACAGAAAGCAATGGATTTAAACTGCAGTAGTAAGGGAGAACAGTTGTTCTCCTTCCTCCTTATGGTTGCCTTCCAAGTGTTTGAATGCTGCTATCACATCCCCTTTTAATCACCTTTTCTCCAAACAGTTTTCCTAGGAGTTCTTTCCTTACCTTGCTAACTTTGCTTTGGGCTAGGAAGAGTGCCCCACAATAGGCCAGTGGGAAGAGGCTTGACAAGACCTCACAAACAAGACAGCCTGGAAAATCTCCCCCAGGTCGGGGTATCACCAGTGCCAGTGTGACATTGATAGGTCATTTGTTCAGTCTTAGACATCCACAGTCAAAGATGGAGCCACTAAAGGTCAAGAACATAAACACCGACCCAAGGGCAAAGGCTGCTCTGAGGTACGTTTAAACAGAAACTGAGATTTAGGAAATCAAGATGGGTCTCACATAGCTCTCTGCTTGTCCAACATCTGTTTATTTTTATCTCTACTAATCTCAGACAACCAAATAATGCCAAACAGCTTATCAAGTGGGCGTAGTTCTTGGGACTATTACATGTCCCCCTGGTTACCTTATTGCGTGCTTTCTGTTCCCAGGGAGATTCATGGGAATTATGAGTAAACAGTAGGGCTGTGTGAAGCTTCGGTCCCTGATTCTATTTGGTGGAGATTCAGCCCAGTTCGGTGGCTGAATCTCTGAATCTGAATCGAATCAGAGGACCCTTTAATCTCTCTGAATCGAATTGGAACCCTCCAAATTGATTCGGAGAGATTCGGAGATTTGGATATAGAGACAGCTTTAAATGTTTTTTCTACACACCTCTAGGTAGCAGGAGCTCATGAACACCGTGATGCTGGGGTGCATGGAGCGTCCCACAGAAGTGCGGGGTGCTCCCCAGCACGCACGGCAGCAGACCCAGAAGTGGATCAGAAGCACTTCCGGTACACTTCTGGGTCTGCTGGGGAGAGCGCGGGGGGCCTCTCCAGCTCGGTGACTGGTGCCTCCTGGGTCTGGGGGGGCACCCGGGGTCCCCCTGCAGCCAATCACTGAGCCAGGGGAACACGGGGGAGGGGGCCCCCAGCATGCTCCCCAGCGGACCCAGAAGTAGACTGGAAGTAATTCCAGTCCTCTTCCAGGTTCACCGCCGAGCATGTGGAGGGCCCCCCCCACAAGCTCCTGTGGGATGCTCCATCCACCTCAGCACTGCAGCATTCACAAGCCACGCTGGTACCTTGAGATAAGTAGAAAAAACTTTTAAAGCTGTGTCTATGGCCGAATCACTGATTCTCTGAATCAGCATCGAATCTTCAGATTTGGATTTGGCCGAATTGAATCAGGGACAATGACCCAAATCAACCAATCGAATCACTGTCCCTGATTTGTGTGCGGGCCGGGAGCGACCAGAGCCCTTTTCCGTGCTGCACGCGGGCTGTGGCCAGCAGCCCAGGCACGCCGGGTCGGAGAGGGAGGCCGCCGAGCTGGAATTAGGCACAAACGCGTAGTGGTAGTTTTAAAGATTGTTTACTTACACCGAGATGGCAGTGGTGTAGGCTGGAAAACTTGATTGAGTTGCGGTTACAGACCGACAACACAGACAGTCTCGTGGAGGTTGCTAGGCTCCACGGTGCAGAGCTCCGGATGCTCTGGGTGAACGAGCCGCCAAAATAGGAATCGTAAGTACGTCTTATAAAAGTTGCGTTCGAAGACGGGAAGAGGTGGGCGGTGGATCAGGGCCGCCACGTGTGAATAATTTAGAACTAGCCAATCACGGGGAACGAATTTGCATACCGGTGGCAGGAACTCTTTTGCACCGTGCATTCCTCTTGCAACATGAGCAATGCACCCTGCAAAAGAAGCTGCAGAAAAGGCAGGAAACTCGTCCCTGCACCGGGGTTTCCTCTTGCCACAGGAAACTCTCCTGTGCAATGCTCTGCAACTTGGCGGGGATAATTCTGGTGCCGAAGCACACACACAATCATGCCTTTTGGGTCATGACAATTTGGGCCGAATCCGAATCAAATAGGGCCTGCTTTGCACACCCCAGTAGACAGCCATTACACAAGACATAATCAATCCCCACTCTCAGCCTTCTTCTTTGGCAGTCCCTCACAGCCGAGGATGATTGCTTTCCATGATTGTCTTATCTGTGTGTCCAGAGATGGCTGATGAGGCCTATCTGGGATGGACAGACTCTACTGTAACTCAGACAGGTGTTTCCGTGTGGGGTGGGTGGTGCTGGATTTTTGATTTGGTCCATCACACGCTGTTTCTGCCACTCCTGCTTTTCCATCTCCTGCTGTTGTCATGAGGTTTCAAAGTACTGAGATCCCTGGAGTAGACTCATTCTCCATTTGGGGCGGTCCTGGGCTATAGTATCCCCTGAGTTGACATCAGTGTTGCATTTTTTTAAGTTGGCTTTGAGGACATCCCTGAGGCGCGTTCTCTGCCCTCTTCTTGAGTGTATGCTTTTGAGCATACTCTCAGCTAAGCCATGGCTCACACCAAAGCCAGGGTGAGCAAATATGCCAAAGGAAGAATGTATTGAACTAGGCTCATTCTCGAGGTGGGCCCTGGAGATAAGCAGGCTAGTGTTCTGGAGAGCTCTGCTAGGGGAGGGGAACCTCTATGCCACTATTTTTCTATAACCCTGCTCTGAAGAGAAAGGAGCTGAGTTCAGTTTCAACTTTACTTTAAGGTGCAGTATCCCGTCCTCCAGGCCCCATCAGCTCAGCAAGTTAGGCATTTTCTCCTTGCCTTTCCCATTCTGCTTTGTTCAGGTCTCCTCAGTGCCACTCACATGGCTGCAACACCTCAGGCATTTTAGAAAATCCCAGCAGACACCTATCTGCATCTTCAGGCACCTAAATGCCTTTAACAAGTGGCTACTAGAGCTAACACAATGGCAACCTAAATGCATCTTCCCTGTATTCAGCGTTTTGGAGTTTGGCCCACTGCTGCCCCATGCTGGAAGAGCCGCTGCCACTGCTGCCATGTTCCCTGGGTGAGAGCCAGAGTTGCCACTGCCATGTGCCCCATGCTGGAGCTGGAGCTACTGCTGCTGACACATGTCCCAGGTGCTGCCATCCAAGAAGGGTGCTCTTACTATAGTTCTTCTTGGTTCAGCTTCTCCCAGAAACAAGTGTCTAAGGCAATGTCATCTGAAGGCAGCAGCAGCACTGCAGCTTGGAGAAACAGTGCCTCCAGGTTGAACTGCTGCATGTTTCAGCACCCTTGAAAGGGTCTTAACTGGTGTTAAGAAATTCTGTTTCCTTCATACTTATTTCTTTCATGGGCCCCTGTTGAATTAAATCATTGCAGTCCTATAATACCATCCTAGGATTCACCTACTGGTCCAGATCAAGTCCATTTTTGCCCCCAAAACCACTTAATGTGAGCTCAGTATTATTTTTTTAATGATTATATTTCTCTATCTCATCTCATGCCTTTGTTCGTATTAAAAGAAAAGGGCTTAGACAGGCTTCCTTCTCCCTCCACCTCTCCTTAGATAGCCTTGGCTTCTTTGTTACCCTGTCAGTGATTTATGAATACTGCCTACTCAACATGAAAATGAAGAATTATTTCAATCCTGCACATACTTGAAACAGTAGCAGTGACGTTATCTTCCCTTTCTTGCATAAATATACACAAACATTTTTGCTTTCAGGTGTGAGCACATACATTTGAATATACCTTCATGGATGCAACATTTCCTTGCAAGGTCTGTACTCAGTACTGGCATGGCATGTGGGGTTTGTTTTTTCAGTCTTCCCATAGACTCTTATCCCATTTTACTCAAGAAACACCTCATATTCTCTAGGGCAGGGGCAGCCAACTTGTGGTATGAGTGCTACAAGTGATACGAACAGCCTGTGTGTGTGATATGTGAAGGCTGGCAGGCAGGGAACAGGCAGCACAGTGGCAGATAGAGTGGGAAGCAAACAGCAGCTTGTTCAGGGAGCACTGGGCAGGGAGCAGAAAGCAGAGCAGCAGATCAGGTAAAGGAAAGCACCAGTCCAATGCCTCAGGAACAGTGAGGGGCTAATTTCTGGCATGCCTGCCAAAAAGGTTGGCTCCCACTGCTCTATGGGGGTGTCTACATGAGATGCTATGGCACAGTAGCAACGAGCTATGGCACAGTAGCTCGTTACCACCGCACCGTAGTGTTGCCAGGCATGAACCATGATGGCAATGGTATGGCAAAGTAGTAACAAGCTCATTGTTACTGCACCGTAGCATCAAAAAAAAAGTTTAAAAGTGCAGGGACGGTATTGAATAATAATGCTGGTTACTGCGCACTCTGCCACCTATGTAGCCGTGGCCTATGTAATGTATTTCTTTATTTCCCCTGGGCCTTTAATTTTTGCAAGTTACTGTCTATGCTGATTCTCTGGGGACAGAAGACATTTATTCAGTCATCTAACTCAAAGATGTTGCCCACTGTTCAGATTTATCTTAAATGTAAGGGGAAAATGAAATTAAGTAACTCACAAATTTACTCTCCCTTTTCTCGGTCACCTTTTCCCAATCCTCCCTTCCCCTTCCCCTAATAGATTGAAAGAAACAGCCCATCTTATGCAAGGCAGGAAACTCACAATATTTTTTTTCCGCTCTATCCAGAGATTCCAAATCTGCATGTCAACCGTGATCTGTCATTTCTGGTAAGTTTTTCTTTTTCATTGTATCTTTTTTGTCCTGATTCATACGTCAGTCTCTTCCTCTTTTCCTGTTGTGTAGGCAAGGAGGCGTTGGCTGCTGCTGCTGTGCTGATTTCTGACTGGCTGGAAAAATGATGCTGGACTCTTTGGTCTAGACTATAAAACAGACCCATGCTGGAGCCAGCAGGCTTAGAAAACAGAAGCACTGAGAATTCTAAGCAAATAGCGCAGCAGGTAAAAACCCGGACACAGCCTCAGCCTCAGCCTCCTCTTGTACTCTTTTCTGGAATTGGGACAAGAACTCCAATAGCAAAATGTGCAAGGGACTTGCTGCACTGCCGGCCACTTGCTTAAAAAGGTAGAGTCTATTACTGAGCATTTTTATTTTTTAAGTTTATAGTCGTGTTGATGTATTCGACTGTATCTAAATGGTATTTTACAAGTGTTTCAATCAGAAATAATCAAATTTGAATCTGTTTTTTCTCCAAGACGATATATAATTGATCGTTTAAGGATTTATTTAGGCTAGAATTGAATTGCATCATGGTTCTTTGCCAAGTATTGTGAATTCTGGACTAGCTCTAGCCATCAGCATAAATTGCCTCTGTGCATTTATGCATTTTTGCTTTCCTTTATTATATGTTACTGCAGGGTTGTGTCAGCCTCACCCTGTATAGGAGAAGAGAGATCTGTTTTCATATTGAAATTCAGGAATGACAATCTATGTGCATGGTATTTTAATGATATTTGTTTGATGTGTAGCATAATTCCTGAAATAAATGTCAAACTACTTTATGCATCTAGCAAAATAGGTCTGGTTTATAATCATAAAGGAAGGCATATAACAAAAAAATTAAACAGCTGGCAAAAGCAGAAACCAGATGGTTGTTTTGATGGGTGCTAGGGGGACAAGGGCTTCATAATGCAGTAAGGTGCAGAATTATGTAAAACTGAAGATGAGGGGATGGCTGTGACCTGGAACAGGAGGCATGGAAAGAAATGAAAGAGCAGGTTCACAGTTTTGCGGCCAGAGGCTGTCTCTGTTTTTCAGACCTTCCCTTGGGGAAAGGATTCTAACAGGCTTGTTTTACCAAACCTGTTAGTTAAACATTAGCCATTTGGTGTGCATGAAGTAATGCCTTACAGTAGGGCAGGTAGCTGTCAATATGCATCACTCCCTACTTCCAGGGCATAGAACAAATGCCTTGTAAATCAGCCAAAAATATGGTTCAGAAATCAACTCCCTCCCTTCCCCATTTCCCTCTAATTCCTCGAAAACTTTGGCCAGGTTTGCTGGATTCTAAATGACTTTGGGACATTACTGTATGAGAGTCTGGATTCTTTTCTGCAGTGAGTTGCCTCAGTTTCTCATTCTGACTGAGAGTGGGACAAAAAAAAGAGGGTCAACTAAGCAGGCAGATTTTGCAGGTGGAAGAAAGGGGATGTCTCTTTAGTCCTCTTCACTGCTATAGGATGCAGGAATCTGTCTCCAGAGTGACAATCAATCCACCCTGGCCATAAGCAAATCCTTCTGGATGGTGTGTCTCAGAGCTTGAACAAAGCTGGGATATGGCAAGGAGAAAGAGACGCCTCATCTCATCCTTATGGAGAAGTCCTATAGAACATCCCAGAGTGATGGCCTCTCTAAATCTGTCCTTGGGTCATCTTAACATAATGCAGAGTTCTGTCCCTGTCACTGAAATCTATAAATGGTTTTCAGAGCTATAGAAAGGACAAAGCACTTTAACTTTAATAGCTTCTAGAAGGAAATTCACTTTAAACCTAAACATCGCTTGTACCCCACTGGTTTCAAACTTGTACTGCTCTCTGGGGCTGTGCCCAAAGGCCTTCTCTTCAGACTCACACTGCTAGGTCCTCCCCATGTCTTGTTACATCTTCTTGTACAAGTTCTTCCAGAGCAAATCTGGCCTCTCTGCCCACCCAACCATACCTCTGGGCCAAGCAAGCCCTGACAATTTGCCACCTTCTTCTCTCTGGCTTTGATGATTTAAAGAAATCCACACATGCTAGGCACAGCATAACTCAGATGCTAGGCAAACAACCTTGACTCTGATTACAGGAGACTGAGTTTAAAGATATGCAACTTTTTTCTTTTCTTTTATCTTGCTGTCGCTATGCCAGCACGAAGTCTGCACAGCTTTTAAACAGAGGCATATGTCAATATGCAATAATTGGCATATATGCATATTGGCTCATTAAATAATTGATATGCAATGTTGCATCTGGAACTTGGCACCTTTAGGAGGTGTTCTCTGCAGTGCAGCTTAGCACACTGACTGTTGACTGGATCATGGCCCTAGCTGGGTATATAAGACATAGTAGGGCAGAGAACACAGTCAACTAGACAGGCAGTCCCTCTTTGTGCTAAGGAAGTGCATAAGGCAGTTTCTTCCTGGGATAGAGAGGCACATACATCCCAATACCTTGCCATAGCTCAGTCCTGTGTTGTTTCATGATGCATTTTTTAATGGGTTCAAGGACCAAAGAGTTTTCTGATGGTATTAATGCCCCATCATGAGGACTTCTTTTCTCAGACTCAAACAGAGGCAGCAATAATATGTGGTACTAATGAATGGCAGCTCATTAAGCAAGTGGGAGACGCACACAATCTCTCTTGGGGACCATGAATTGAATGAAAATATTGGTACCTCATTGCAGAACTGCACACTGAGCAGTGGGAATGGAATCACTTAAAGCAAGGAATCCATTTACTGTTCCCAACTTTACTCTGCCTGTTATTAGGTTGGTCTTGCTAACACAATTTTCCTGTTTTATTTCCACTCAAGTGTGGTCAAAGTCAGAATGTGAACATGACAGTGTATTTATTTGCTGATTATTTATCTCCCCTGCTGTAACCTATGGCGTGTTATAAGGTGCCCTTGGTATTTCTGGCTTTGCACCATGTTGTGTGTGTGGGTTTGAAATGGCAATTTTGGTTTGAAATGGCATTGTTAGGGAATCCCTGGGTAAATATTTGCCTACAAATGGAGGGAACTGGACTCAAATGGCTCCCAAGGCCCTTTCCAGTCCTATGTTCTATAGTCTAGTACAGACCCTAATTGTAAGGCCATCACTGATCTTTGTGTAGTGAATTCAGGAATAGCAGGGGGTATTGGATTCTATTCTGCCTCCTGCATCTGAATAGTGAGGATCAGATTCTAATTCACATATTAGGTACTTCTCCAACTGTACTGTTCCCCTAGCAGTGAAGTGAAACAGCAACAACTGATGTGTTGGTGAAAGTCCAGAGGCTCTTTAATTAATATCATGATTTCATTTTAATGGTATTGATCTAAAAAAAGTAAACTCTAAGCTTGAATTGGGCACATGTCAGTAATAGCTCGAACTGGTATAGTCTACACAAAAAACCTGTGCACAGACTCACAACAGCTGTCCTCACAAATGGCGTCTCTCTGCTTCTTTCAGTGCCAAGGATATGAAGCATCGTCTGGGTTTTTTGCTGCAGAAATCTGAGTCGTACGATCAGGGTTCTTCCCACAGCAAGAAGGAGAAAACATCTTCATCCCAGAGGTAAGAGCAGGGCATGCAGAGAAATATCAGGACTTGAGGTCAAGCATAATAGTTCTCACTTTCCTTTAGCTGAAGTTTGTTAGTGGACCCTGAAGCACAGGTAGTTGATTTAAAACATTTGTGAAAAAGGAAAGAACCCCATTATCTCCTATCACAGAGTAGGATCCCACAAGACAGAATGCACTTCAGTAGCCACCACAACAGATCTTTGAGTCAGGCACAGATAATGCTCCAAAGAGACAGGAAATGTGGAATCCTGCACTGGGATCAACCTACCCACCACCTCACGGCTTCTTAGTAACGGGCACCACAGGGACTGTATTCTTCCTCTGCAGAGACCAAAGGACACTCTCCAAGACAGGGCCTTGGCATAGGTGGACCATGGCATGTCCTAATATTTGACTAAATGGTGTATTGGCCCACAGCGCAGAAGAGGAAAGTTACTGAGTTCTTCATTGAACTCTTTAAGAAATTTCACCATCTCTTGCTGTCAAAGGAAAATCAATTATTTAGGACTCCCTGGCTTGATCCTAAGAATGATCCCTACTCTGTGTTTTAGAGTAAGGCAAAACTAATCCTTTACTCCAGCCCAAAGCCCAGAGCTATCTTCCTTGAGGGGGAAGACGAGGGCTGGAGAGGAAGGGGGTTTCAGCCCAAGGCTGGTAAGTGTTTACCCTGGGCAAAAGACAACGGTTTCCATAAATTAAATCACTGGATCCTATTTGTCCTGAGACAATTCCAAATGCAAGATGTCCAAACCTATTTCTCCCCAAGGCTTAGTGACTTGGGACATCTTCAGGCACAGCCTCTACAATTTTCAGGGACTCTGATGGGAAAGTCAAACATGATCTCTTTGGCTCTTTATCTAAATCAATTATACTTAGCCAGGGTGCTGGGGCCCCCTGGGATGCCACCAGATCTGTTGAAGGGTGCTGTGAGGTGTGAGGAGATAAGCTAATGGGATAAGCAAGCCTCAGGCTTGTCTCTTCCTGGATGACCCCTAACCCCTACTGCCCAAGCCCCTGTGTATAGAGGTAAGCATTGTTATATATATAAATTGGATGTTGCACAACTCACAAAAGTTATGGAGTGGTGCCTTGAGTTCAAAAAGGTTAAGAGCCACTGCTCTAAACCCTCTTTCCATCTCTCTCTGTCTCATTTCAGGGTTAGTCAGGAGGAAGTCAAGAAGTGGGCTGACTCTTTGGAAAACCTGATCCATCATGACAGTAAGTAGACGGGACAACTCTGAAGGGAACACTGTTGGTATGGATTGTACAGGGTGCTATAGCATGTCCCTTTGCCAGCTGGCAGCATGAACGAGTGGGTGCTGATGCAATGTATTAGCACTTCGGCCAACAGCATTTAAAGCTTTACCTCACTTTGCTCAGCAGCAACAATGCTTGGTGGGTGGGGGACTATCACCTGCTACCCATGCCTTGCCCAGGCAGAGATGAGTAAGGCTAGGTAAGGGGAACTGCCACGGGGCTTGAAGAGACCTGCCCTGCATGCTGGGGTGATTTTCCAGAGAGCAGAGATTGGGCCTAGTACTGAGTAGTAAAACAGCCCAGATTTTCTTGGGAACTTTTAGGAGTAGACAAGATCCCATCTGCATTCCTGTATGAGGAAACCTAAGGTACTCAGGCTGTCTTCTAGACAGCTAATAGATTTGCCTTCATTCCAGCCTTCATCCTCTCTGCTACTGCCCACGTGTGTCTCAAATGTCCATCCTAATCATGCAAGAAAGCCAACCAGTGGGGCAAATCTGACTTTGATATAACTCCACTGAAGTCTTCTGCATCTCAGGATTGAGGCTGGCCCATGTATTTTTTTGTATTTTTTTACTTATGTGAGTTTGTCTCCAGCTGTTAGCTCCCTGGTTGTTTTCCTGGGGCCAGTGCCAAAGTGCTCATTCTACCATGGCCTCTGAGACCTGTGACTGTGACTTGTGTAATTCCAGTTCCTGTGTAAATCACTTCTTGACACAAGATGCACTGAGCCTTCAGCCCATCCAGGGTTAGGTGGCAACAGAAGACAATCCAATAGGAGACTCTCTCCATTTTGGCTTCAGGCTATACTGAACCCCCTTGGGCCTGTATCATGTCAGCAAATAAATGTTCCCATGGCCTGAGACTCTGCAGTGTGTTAAGTGCCTGCTGAGCCAGCTGGGGATAGGCTATTTATTTGTATTATCAGCTGTCCCAGAAAAAGCACAGTATGGCTTTGAGGAGCTGGGCTGCTTGATCTCCCTTGGGAGCCCTTTTGCACATTAGCCTCCTTTTGTCATCCGTTTGATGACAGTGGAAATTTAATGAGGAAAGAGCCTGCCAGGCATATGCTGTCACTGCAGTCAAAGAAGTTGCAGTCACTGAACTGCATGGGAAGAGTCCTGTGATGGCTCCATTGCTTAGGTTCATCTAGATGCTCAACTGACAGCCAGGGAGACTCACTGCTGCTGTTTTCTTCTAACTAGGTGGGCTGGCTGCTTTCCGGGCTTTTCTGAAATCTGAGTACAGTGAAGAAAATATTGAATTCTGGGTGAGTTGTGAGGACTACAAGAAAACCAAGTCACCTGCCAAGCTCAGCACGAAGGCCAGGAAGATCTATGATGAGTTCATCTCTGTTCAGGCAACTAGAGAGGTATGTATAGCGTTCCCCTGGGGAAGCCCCTTGAATATGGGGGGGCAGGCCAGCACTGTCTTCAACTAGTAGAACATGCATGCTGCATTTCACTTCTTATCAGGGTGGGTACAATACATCTGCAACATGCCACTACAGCTGTGTGAAAGCTATGCAGGAGGGAAAGGAAGCCTGGCCCTCATTCACATGCCACTACTCCAAATCTTAAAACATGATCAGATGGACTGCAGGTTTCCAAGGCCCAGACATGCCCCATGCAATGGTAGGCGATCTATCCTGAGTGATAGACCATCCTGACGCTAATGAATAAAGTGTGTCCAGAAGGAAAGGAAACCACCCCTTCTTGACTCCTTGTTATGTGATCAGCTTCCCATTAGGCAGCTAATTCCACCTGGGGACAGAAATCCCCACTGAAATCCCACTCAGGTGGATTCTGACAATAACTCAAGAAAAAGATTTTGCCAAGAGGGTGGTTGCTTGAGGGGAAGCCAGCCCCATTGCCATGGCAAACTTAATACCATTGCCAAGGAGAGTCGCACAGGGGACTCACCAGTTTCCTATACATTATCAACCAAGCCAGACACTGAATAACCCTTCCCTCTCTCCACTAGGTGAACTTAGATTCCTGTACCCGGGACAAGACAAGCTGCAACATCCAGGAACCCACACTGACCTGCTTTGATGAGGCTCAGAGGAAAATATTTATCCTCATGGAGAAGGATTCTTACCGCCGCTTCCTCAAATCTCCTTTCTATCTTGACTTGATTAGCCCAGCTGGCATGTCCTGCAGCACTGAGAGCCACAAAAGAACCAAGGCTCAATCCTTAGACTGTAACTCCAACCTGGTCTCTCAGTGTGCTTGACTGAGCAGCAAGCAGGGAGTAGGCAGTGCTCCCATGACTCTTACTGGGCATGCAAAGCACTCGTCAGCAAAGCACTCATTGGCATGAAGCAACACAGCTGTACTCAGTAGATGTCTAATGTCCTTCTTGTGTACCTACTATGTCATGCAACAGCCAGCATTTGTAACTCAAGAAGACTCAGTTTATGTATTGAAACCTGCTGGTCTTCTCAGCAGCCATCAATAGAAGAGGCATTTCTCTAACATGTAAAGCAGGGTTAAATTGTTATATATGTCTGTTGTGTTCTTTTCAATTTGTTGCCAGAACAGGTGGAACAGCACTGAAAGTTTAGGCATGTCAGTTTTGTTAACCAGCACTTTACTACAAAGGCACTTTGCCCTGTGTTGGTTTGACCAAGAATATGGGGTGGGAGGTAGGGAGGAAGCTACGTGGCAGGCCTGATCCAATCTTGTGTGCCATATCCAGGCACAAGCAGGTGAGAGAGTGAGTGACGGTATGGGGCTCACTGGCAGGAAACAGCGGAGATGTGGTCTCCTCACAGATGCCTTTAGAATCAGCAGGGGCAGAGACAGGAAAGGCTTGCTACAACCCTGAGACATCCAGACAGTCAGGCACTACCTGGGGTAGCAGGACTGACAGGACATTTGCATTACCACAAAGGCCTGTGCAGTGCCCAATGCTGGTGACCCTAGCACAATGGAGGGGGAGGGTTGCTTGTACTCTTGCAATGCCTTATTCTGAGGCTGTGTGTTCTTGGGCATACCTATGCACTATATCACCATAGCTTGTTTTATTAACTAGCCTGTTTTGCACAGCCTTCTGGTTAGAAAGGCTTTTTGCAGCTTCTGCTCAGAGCAGGGCAGGGGAAACATTACACTATGCAAATTGAATTCAGGGATTATTGCAACTGTGTTTTAAAGGGAAACCATCAGGATAAAGTTTGGCAGTTTAGCCCAGAGTGTCCCCACATCCTCAAGGTCACCACAACCAGAAGGGCATGGCCTGCTCTCTGCTGCTTCTACTGGTTTCCTCTGTGATCCGCACATAGTCCTGACCAGGAAGCTGGCCCAGCAGAGGGGCTGAATCTCCCCTTGAACCCATTTCTGCACATTTATGAAAGCCTCCTCCCCCAGGACCCATCTACTGGTATAATTAATCCTGAAAATTACCCGTTCACTGGGGCGTTCTACCTTGTCCTAGAGCATTTAGCAGAGTCTGCAGTTGGTAATGGGGGGCCTCTACCCACAACCAACAAGGGGGAAAGGCCCAGCTCCTTGGAGCCCGAGGCCCACAGAAACATTTAAAAATATTCTTCTTAGTATTATTTAATGGGTTTGCATTTGAAACATCAATGTTGTTAAGGCTTCTAGGAGGTGCTATATCAGTGTCTTTATTACTCCAGAACATTAAATTACCCAGCCTAGGGTAAAGCAGTAGATAGCTCAATTCAACCTACATGGTTGGACCTGGCCTTCATCTAGAGTTAGGGGACTCCCTCTCACTTCTGTTGGGGTTACTAGGAGCCCCTGGTGCAACCGTACTTGGTAGCACCTGCCTTGACCTGCTTAGCTTCAGGCTCACCTGCCTTTCACATTGGTCGCAGCTTTTGTTTGCAATGTGTGGACTGCTCCTTCCCTTGGATGTTACCTTCTTCCCCCATCACTTAACCTTTGTGTAGCAGGCAGCCTCTCTCATAGTAGTAGACATTTCCTTTTGTGGCTCCCAGTTTAGGTGGTTTCTCCCATGTCAGGGATTTTGTCACAGGTTGGAGATTGGTAGATAAGACTGTTCTGATCACACCGCTACCTATTTATTTATTTATTTATTTATACTTTAACTTATTGAGGCACATGCTGATCTGCTTGTTTATCTAATGGATGAAGATGCTTGCTAAAGACTGAAGCTCTGTACTTGACAAGCATGTTGCTACCTGTGGGGGGTTTTTCCCCCCTAATACCTAGAATTCTTGGTCAATTCTGCAATGAACTGTATAAATACTTTAACAAGAGTGAATTGATTATAAATAAAACATGTTTGAAGTAGAAACATCATGCTAAAGTACCGTTCCATGAATAAGCCAAAGGAGAAAACAGTAGTTAACGAGGGTGTAATGCGCTGGCTACAAAACTCACACATTAACATAACAACATGTTGTAGTATCTAGCAGGACCTCTGACAGTTGCACACAGCAGGACAAGGCACTTTTACTAATTGATTTCTCCTCAAAGTATTTATACAAAATGCCTTGGCTTGAAATGGTGCCACCTTTATATCAATTATGTTATCCCCAATATGATCCAATTTTCTTTTAATCTCCCTTCTTAAAGCTGAACAAGGCCAGTATATTTTTAGAGAGCTTTTCTAAAGATTAAACTAATGTCGAAATTAGAGCTCATTTCAAATTATTTTAAAGAGAAGCCAGATGCCTCTGTTTTTCATCAAACTGGGAGTTTGCATCCATGATTTTTGTTTAATATTTATAATACGATAGCAGCCCAAGATCTGGACTAAGATGGGTGTCATGCAAACACAGATATATTATATATGGCTTTTGATGTAGAACTATTGAGAAAGGCTTGGGGGCAGGGAAAAGTCTCCTAAGTATCCTGTTCCTGAGTTTCCCATGAACCACTGTAGTGCGTTATCACTCAAAAACCCAAACATCTTGCACTTAAGGCACCTAGCCAACCTGACCTCTGTCCTCATAGTGACAAAATAAGCAGACAAACTCTCACCGCCCTCCCCATCCATCCATCCAAACAATTCCACCTCATTAGCAGGAACAGAACCCAGAATTGCCTTCCGCTGGTATCAAGCGGTGATTGTGATTTCTCCAAGCTTTTGAAAAGTCCCGAACAACCTCCAGGAAGCAAAATGTGCTTCCAACACAGTGCAGAAGAGGAAAGTTTTTCCACTCATCATTAGCAGCCATCCCAGGAGCAGACATTCTTCAGGGTCCCCGGGGTAGACATCATGAATGAATCAAGGACACAAGAGTCCTTGGATCCTAAGCAAGCCTGTTTGTGGGCACATCCAAGCACAAACCATGACATGCTAGCACTGACCAGAAAACGATATCTTTGTGTGAAGTCCCATGCATTGTCTTACAGACTCAACACCTATGTTCAGGCCATAATTCCTGGGTGCACATTTCTTACCATGCCCTGCTAGGCTAGCAGAGGGTGTGAGGAAACTCTAAGGCAGGAGTGGGCAAAATATGGCCCACCAAAGGATTTTATCTGGCCTGTGGAGGGTCCCTCAGCCCCGGCTGGCCTAGGAGTGGGGGTGGGGGAGCAGTCTGGGCCATGCCACGTGTTGCCAGTCCAGCCACCCCAGGGTGTGCCGGAGCAGAAGCAGTGCGCAGCCAGACTCTGCCTGGCTGCTGCTGCCAGTCTGCCCTGCACCTACTGCTGGAGGTGCCAGATGGAGAGGGCAGGCAGGGTTTGCAAGAACAAACTGAAAGATCCTGTTTTCAGCTGTTCGTTATTGGTTATCGGAAAGTCCCAATTTTGACTGAATTACCTTATAACAGGAGGTTATCAATCTCTGCTGAGTTGGAATATATCAGGAAATTTATTAACAACTGGGAAAAACACAAAGCATTTTTGAAGAGTTGTCCTTGGAAGATCAAGGGAACCACTGAGGCAAAACAAGAGTTAATCAGGAGATAACAACTATCAAGCCCCATATGGAAAATGTCTCTTCCTGTACATAAATGTGAGTTAATTATAAATAAATGTTTACCATAGTAATTAATCAAAGATAGACATTTAACACAGTCAAATACTGGACACATAGGAGCTTGCTTAAAATCAGCATGGGTATAAAATAAGCTGCAAGTTACACTTCATTATTTCTTTTCAGGAAGTCCCAGCAGAAAACTTACATCCCCTTGCACTATGCGTTTGTCATTAATGGTTTGTAGTTTAATTTTTATGAGTAGATTTCTTGGAAATCTAATGCCCATTCCTGGACAGTTTGGCTGTAAGATTTATTGGAATGTCAATGACAAACACTCTCAGCCTAAACTCCAGCCAAGCCAAAAGCTTTGGCTGGGAGTTTCCCCATGAATTCTGCTAGGATTTGGCTTTCTAGTGTTGGCACAGCATGTATCAGACACTAGGTGTGCTGCAGTTCTCCTTGACCCCCGTCTCTCTCCACTCCTCAGGTGACACAATCTGAAGTCCCACACTTAAACCCTGGAAACCTCCCCTTTTGACTGCCTCAGGGTTCCTAATACCATGGCCCAACAGGCATTTAGCTACAACTCACAGCCACAGCCTTTATCATCAGCCCAAAATTTTGCACATACAAGTAGTTATGAATGACATGAGCTCCACAATGGGCAGCATGCTTTCTTCTTCCAGGGGTCTGGGTGCCCATATGCCCCCTTCTCTTGGATGTTACCGTCTTCCCCCATCACTTGATCTTTGTGTAGTAGGCAGCCTTTCTTATAGTAGTAGACATATCCTTTTGTGGCTCCCAGTTTAGGTGGTTTCAACCATGTCAGGAATTGGCCGTGGGATTATGCACCTATGTATACAAACATATGCCTATTGCCTATACTTCTTCACCTGCAGCATGTGCTAATTTGTCAGGTTAGATATATCCTTTCAACCACAATGTCCACATGAGTTATGGTCCTGGCATAACCCTTACCTAAAAGAGCAATTTCTTTCATGGAATGGCCAGGAACTCCAAAGGGGCTAGGTCCATGTACAAACAATATGATTCAAGGAGTTCCTAGAAGCAAGACTGACAGCCTTTTCCAGCCTACCTTGGCAGACCTAGCCAAAGCTTTCAGATATGTATGGACTGTTATGCTTGTGTTATGACAATATTCTGCTCTGGTGGTGGTTGATCTGTTGATCATTTCTGAAAGAAGTCTAGACAGGAGGCTCATCATACCTCCATAGCACATGCTGGCCAAACCTCTCCAATGCTTCCCCAGCCTGGTCATATAATAGGGAAAAGATTCACAAGGAGTGTTAGTGACAGGTGCGAGGTCACACAGCAGGTCAGTGGCAGAGTGCTGCATAGAGCACTAGGTACTGAGGCCCATGTATTGGCTAGTCTAGGTGATGCTGGGTTCATGACAAAGCTGTGGGACTATCAGGCCACTGGTAGCTTTCCTGTGCCCTCTTATCCTCCAAGTACCCTTATTTCACATGTGAGGCAGACTCCACCTGGATAATCTGTTCTATTTGCATCCAAATGAATTAACTGCTCCTAATGCTAAGTCGGATATTTTCCTCTCTCAGCCTATTGGACCGATAATGGTATTTCATCAGGGAGAGCAAATGGAGCTACCTCAGCAAAAAACAAACACAATTGAATCATAGCTAAGAATGCTCAGGCCATGCATGCATGGTGCCCATGCAATGGCACTGGCTTTTACTAATGTGTATGTTTTTCTATTGGCAAAATGGAAACAGCTGCGATTTCTGCAGCTCCTGGGAGAATGTGATCCCAGCTGTTAATGCTGTCCTGACTCCCATGAGCTCCTCTGAACTCCTGCATGCCAATTATCTGGGCAGCATCTGGAACAGCTGGCTCCTAAGCATGTAAGCAGTGCTTCTCTCTGGGCTACAACCTGGGTGCAGCACTAAGCACAAGCTGAAATGATAAAATGGCCTTGAAGTTTAAGTGTGGCAGCTGGAAACTTCCAGCAGAGCTCCAAGAGGCAAATGGGGGACTTTGCAGTTCACCCACCACCCTTTCATTTCTTTGTGTGTGAATACCCATTCATGATGGGTAAGGTCCCAGAAGACAACTAGGAACATCTCATTTCATGTCTTGGATGACTCAGGACAAAGAATATCACACTGACTCCTGTCTCCAGCCCAGAATTGCTGCTTGAGCTAAAGTGGATCTATGGAGGTAGCTACCCAAATCTACTGCTCCACAGATTTTTAATTAACAGAGACACCATCATATCCATAGGCAAGTTGATCCAATGTTTAATGCCATTCATTGTTAAGAAAAATACTGAACCTCACTTCTAGTCTGAATTTGTTGGCTTTAACTTCCAGCCATTTGGTCTCATTCTGCCTTCATGACTCCAGAGCCCTCAGCTATCAGAAATCTGCTTTCCATGGAAGTGCCTATAGATTTGATAACCTAAATACACTAACCTTCTGCACTGGCTCATTGCAGGATGGGTTTCCCAGCTCTGATATCAGGGCTTTTGTTTCTATCCTTTGTGCTATGCTAAGATCCTTTTTGAAGTGTATTCAGCAGCAATGGTTTGATTAGTATTCCTGCAATGCCACTCTTTTACTTTTAATTTAGTAGCATCACCTCCTATATGCCTATATCCACAAATTACAATAACTCTCTTATCCACAGCATTACACAAGGAATTCATGTTCAATTGATGGATGGGAGAGTCCTACACGTGACTGAATGAGCATGAGCTCTGCAGAGGAGGCCTTGGAGGGAATGGGGGGCAGGGTGGAGGAAACTGTTCTTGAATTGTTTGGTATTAAGACTTCATCATTTGCATATGAATAAGATGAGCCTCCTGGTTCTGTCCTGATCCCTACCACATGCCAGGCTACAGCCAGAACTGGCTGGAGAGTGACAGTTCTACTGGGCAGCAGATTAAGAAGTTCTGACCTCTGTTTTCAGTACACGCTGGGACAAGATCCAAAGCTTTCAAACATCTATGCAAAACAGAATTGGGCTGAAATGTCTGCTTTTTCAATTGCAAAACCTGAGCTTTCTGAATGAGGCCTCTTTGACTGACCACAAAACCCATTTTTGACAAAAAGCCTGGTGGAAACCAATACATCTTCATGAAACCTTTTGGCTTCCACAATAGTATATTCTAGCTCACCCTCAGTCTAACCTTTAGTGAAGCCCACCCCCAGCACACCTCTTGCTCTTGTGGTCTCCCTCCCAGCACCTTTTAAGTCTTTCCAACATGGTTTCCGAGTCTCAGCTACTGTAAAAACAGCCAAGAATTTGCCCGGAGATGTCTCAATGCTCTCTGTGATATGTTGGCTCAAGAGAAGCCAGTGGCAAGATCACCAGTGAC